ATTGCTCCCAGATGTTTTTGAAATCCTCATCCGCTTTATATAGATCTCTTACGACCTCAAAGTACACAACTCGGGCCTGCATGGATGTGATCAACAAATGTTGACGACTAAGTACATTTGCTACGTGGTTCTGGCTTCCCGCCTTGTGCTTAAGCATGAACTGGAATGAGCCTAGAAATTCCAACAAAGTGGCATATTGGCCTTTTAGTTTGCTTTGATTATTGAGAAATTTTAGGGTCTCGTGATCCATAAAGTGTGAACTCGTTCGTTTGTAGGTAATGGCTCCAGTGCTCAAGAGCTCTCACGATGACAAAGAATTCTTTGTTCTAAGTTGTATTTTCTTCTTGACTCATTCAACTTCTCATTGAAAAAGGCTATGGGATGTCCTTTTTGGCTCAGTACTGCTTCTATTCCCATGCCAGAGGCATCACACTCTACCTCAAAAACTTGGTTGAAGCCTAGGAATGCTAGCACGGGCGCCTGAGTCACATTTTTTCCTCAGTGCATCAAAGCTATCATGAGCTGCTGCTGTCCAAGCAAACTCCTTCCCTTTCAAAAGTTTGGCTAGAGGGAAGGTGATGGTGTTGAAGTTCCTAATGAATCTTCGATAGAATGATATTAGCCCTAAAAATTATCTAAGCTTGGTGAGCGACTGTGGTATGGTGCAGCTGATATTGAGCTCTATCTTTATGGGATCCATTTGAATGCTTGCACTAGATACGATGTAATCCAGAAAGCATACCCGACTTGTCATGAAGTGAGCCTTTTTCGGATGGGCATATAACTGCTCAGCTCGCGGCACCTCGAATACTGCTTTTAGGTGATGCAAGTAATCTTTCTTTGATCGGCTATATGCTAGAATGTTGTCAAAGTAGACCTTGAAAAAGTTTCCAATGTGAGCCCGAAATACATGGTTCATCAATCTCATGAAAGTGTTCAATGCGTTTGATAGACCAAAAAGCATAATATTCCACTCATAAAGCCCACCCCGTGGCTTAAAGGTGGCCTTCCACTCATTTGCTGGTTTCATCCGTATTTGGTGATACCCGCTGTGTGAGTTGATCTTGGAGAAAATAGTGGCTCTGTGTAATTGGACTAAGTGTTCATCCAAGCGTGGTATGAGAAATCAGTACTTGATAGTGATTTTTTGATGATACGACTGTCGATGCACATCTGCCACGATCCGTCCTTTGGCACCATCTGGGCGGGAACAACACACGTGCTTGTGCTTTTTCTTACCTGTCCTCTCGCCATGAGATCTTGCACTTGTTGTTGTTGCTCCTAATACTCTGTAGGTCTCAATCTGTAGGCTAGTCGGTTTCGCAATTCCAATCCTAGTATAATGTCTATGGCGTGTTGGATGACCCTTAGTGGCATAGCCTTTCTGGCAGACCTTCGGTCATGACATCGTGGATGTCTTGTAGTAATGGTCGCAATAGTACTGGTACCTTACTTTCCTCCTCTGTTCCCTCAAATAGGACTAATATTATTGTCACAGCAGCAGCTCTAACTGATTGTAGGAAAGTGGTTCGGGGGGCTAATGTTGCCTTTTTATCACTCCTACTTTTTGTATCCTTAGCCGGTAGCAAAACAATACGATTCCTGTCCCTCTTAAAAGAATAAGTGTTCTTGAAACTATCGTTGCCAAGGCCTACCGAGTAGAATGTGGCAGACGTCTATAGGAACCACGTCACACCATACATAGCTGATACCTGATGGAAAAGTCTACTAGGCACTGCTGATTTCCACATATCTAACTTTTCTTTTTCAGTAAGGTAAGAGAATATGACTGGGGATGCTTCTTCGTGTCCAATCCCAACTTTTTCACCATAAGCTTGGACAGTGCATTCTCGCTGCTTCCATTGTCGATGATCAAGTTGCAAACCTTTCCTTTGACGGTGCATTTGGTGTGAAAAATACTATGCCTTAACCAGGATAGGTCCCATACTCGCGCAGACTGCAAAACTCTCCGAATGACTATTGCTTCTCCCTCGTCTCCATGGAGCTGAAGCTCTTCTTTTGGACTATCCTCTGATTCCCTGTCGACCTCCTCGACGACGCCCTAATCTGTCCGACTTGGCTCATAGGGCAGTTGGAGGCTATGTGACCATAACCATAACACTTGAAACACTTCCTGGTCAGCACTATAATGGAGGAACAACCTCTCTAACTTCTTCCCATTCTGGTTTGCCTTATCCGTTCCTTGTCTGGTTTTGTTATTTCTTTCTGAGGTATCTTATCGATTGTAGATGTTGCAGGTGACTGCTTAGCTGAAGGTGGTGATCTGAATGATGACAACGGTCTGCTTTATTTCTAATGTCTCTCCACCTTCAAGGCTAGTGTCTATACAACGCCTAACATTCAGTATGGTTGTAACTGCACCATGTTGCTAATGGCGGGCTTCGGGCCCCCGAGTTATTTGGCTACCATATGTTCTTCTGGCTTTGTCATCTTGCACTTCAGTTGCAAGTGGTCAAACTGGGTTGTGTACTCCTCTACTGAAAGTTTCCGCTGCTTAAAGTTGTGGAGTTTCAGAAACATGTCCTGACGATGGTGAGGCGAGGGGTATTTCTTCTGCATTGCCTGCATCTTTACCCATTTTGTTTTCTTTTCACTGCCTTCTCTTTTCTTCTACCTCTGCATATTTTCCCATCGTAAGGAGACATTGTTCTTCAGTTTAATGACAACTAGCTTGGCCCATTTGTCCTCTGGCTCATCCTTATACTCGAAAATTCGCTCATCTAATTACAACCAGTCAATAAACTCATCGGGGTCCATGCCACACTCAAATTCTGGGAGGTCCATCTTGATTCAAAAGTCTCGTTGGCCTCCATAAGTGACCTCTTCTTTTGGCCTTCTCTGATATTGGATACCAAAATGACTTGGCCGATATTCCTTATCATTGTGATCTTCCTTGTGGAACGGATTCAGATCCTTGTCCCTGCCTCCCATTTGACTCTCCATATCATGCCCGGGTCTCGTCATCCAACTCTGCTAGCCTCATCTAAATCTGCTAGCCTCCGTTACAGATGTCGAATTTATTGTTGAATCACTTCCTGGGTAGAGTTCGGTGTATCTCTCCGTAGTGGCATGGTTAAGGTAAGGAATTAGAAGAAATAATTTTTGGTGAATGTGGCTTAGGTAGGAGTGGATACAGTAAACCCTAGGATGGGATTATAGTTGGTCTAGCTCGGATACTAAATGATCCCAGAGGAAGTAACAACTCAGTGTAAACTCAAAAAAAAAAAATTATTAATGTAGAAATAGGACTACAACACAACACAATTGGAAAGAAATGACACTATGCTCCGGCTAAGGCCGGAGGGGAGGGCTTGGGGCGGTGGTGGCGTTGGCGAAGTTGTACAGGGATGAGGAAGGGGCGAAGATAGCGGGGTAGGTTGGAAAAGGGGATTTGGAAAGAGGGGTGGTGGCTGATTTGATAGTCGGAGGAGTGGGGCGACGGGGAAAGTGGAAGGAAAGGAAAGGGGAGATGTTGGGTGCTGTTGGGGGTGACCAGACAACAAGGAGGGCTGTCTGGACTGGCCTACTGGATGTAGCTGTGGTCGGAGGGCTGGACAACAAGATTCAACGGTTGGAGAAGGGAGGACAGGTTGCTGCTAGGTGTGGATGGGAGGGCTGGAAGTGGGTGGTACACAGGAAGGATGTGCTGGGGGTGGTCGACGACTAGGGAGAAGGGAACCAGAGGAGCGGAGAATGGGTTTTAGGACGTTAAAACACCACATCGGAGTAGGATACAGCTGGAGCACCATTACATCCTCGGATACAATCTTAGTTAGGGAGAACAACTCCACATAGGAATTTGGAATTTGAAAAACAAAAACTGAGCTCTAATTTTCTAAAAGTAGCAATGTATAGACTCCTTGGAGGAGAAAAGGAAAGAAGTAAAAAAGGAAACTCCCTCACAAAAGGAAAGGGTGGGGAGGTAGGTTTACTCCAAAAAATAGCTATTAAAGACATTTCATAAGTAGAAGAGTGTATAAGAAAGGGTGATATCCCAGACCCTCTACAGAGTTTGTAAATCCTCCCGCATGGACCTATCCACTGGGCCTGCGGGAAAAATTGCCAGCAGGTTAAGCCAGCTGGCATCTTTAACATCCTACGTCGGGGGTGCCTTTAGTGCCCCATGACAAAACCCCTTGAAATGGCAATGGTAGGGCCAAGATAGATTTTGGTGAAGGTAAAGACGCTGCGATGATTGATTTTCGTGAAATCCCCATATTTCACTTTGATTTGCTCCCCTTCTCTTCTCTTCAAACTTGGGGAATCCATCCTAAAATGAAGGATTCTCTTTTGACTCTGGAAAACCTGAAGTGAAAAAGTCCCATGTTTTCTCCAAGGAAAATTTTATTATAGGCAAATCATTCCAAATAACATCTAGATCCTTTAATTACAAAATTATACTTTAAGAATTTAAAATAAAAGGAAATATATCTCTAATAATAAATTAATTATAAAAATGCTCTTCCTAATAGCATGTCATTCTCTCTAGGTTAGAAGAGACTTGTCACTACAAGAATTAAATGTATTTGCATCGGCTAGATTAGATGCAAATCGAAGGCAAATCCGACAATATTTAAGGGTTATTGTTGGATTTACCTGTAATTTTATGCAAGTTTGAACTCAAGAATTAAATCGTAATACTTCATGTTTACATTGATTTTATTCTAACACTCAGCCAACAATACCTCACTTTTCTTTTTAAGCAGAATAAAACACCGCATGTGAAATTTATGCTTAGTATCTATCACTATCTTCTTAGGTCTCTGCTTTTTGGTCTAAAGAGTGCCATTATTTTGGGAATCTGCAGTAGACATATCTTCTCTCTAGATGATATTTATCTTTATTATGAAGTTAAGTTGTTACTAAGTGAACATGAGAAGCTCCAAGTCATGCTTGATTTTTAGAAATTTATTCAGTGTAGCCTCTTTAATCTCAAACTTTTTCCAACTTTCATTATTTTTCTAGTCTTGTCTTTGCAGAATCTTCTAGAGTTACAATTGTATGCTCAGTCTGAGTTGTTGTCTGAAGGGAAAAAGGATGACTTGTTGGCGCGACAATCTAAAATCTGTTGCGGGGGCTCAGTTGTGAGCAATGGTATCATAATGCAGACTGAATATGATCTTTATTTTGGTATCTCGAAGGGCTATGTTTCTTTTGGATTGACTGGTCTAGAAAACCTTGGAAACACATGCTTTATGAACAGCGCAATCCAATGCTTGGCTCACACGCAAAGCCTTGTTGAATACTTTCTTGGAGATTACAGCAGAGAAATAAATCATCAAAATTCGTTAGGGATGGGTGTAAGTTCACAAAATATGAAGTTTTATTGAAACATGGCTTTTGTGCTATTTGTTTTAGAAAATACCATTTGTTTAGCTTATAATATGATCATTTGTGTGGAGTTCTCTGTTTTTGTTTGGATGCATACTTTCTTAGTTTGGTTTTTGACTGACTATGATATTTTTTCAGGGGGAACTTGCTTTGGCATTTGGAGAGTTGTTGAGGAAGTTGTGGGCTCCTAGTAAAACTCCAGTAGTGCCTAGGGATTTTAAGGCAAAACTTGCTCGTTTTGCCCCTCAATTTAGTGGCTTTAACCAACATGATTCTCAAGTGAGTTATTTCTCTTAATTTCGAGTACTTTTTTATTATAATCACATTTACAGTGTCAAGAAATTATATTGTGGCATGTTGTGTGGTGAGACATATATAATGATTAGTATGCTCTGTACAATATATCGTTATTGGGGTAGAAAACATGTTGGTACTTCTATTTTTCTTGTTTTAACACCAGTCTTATTTTCTCAAAGCACCATGTTGCTGCCTAGTTCTCAAAAATCATAGCTAGCAGGTTCTCTAGTAGATTGTATAGTTTTCCATCTATTTTTTGTTTCAATTGACTGTCTGTACAACTCCAAGGAGCTCCAAAATCTCGGGATGAGAAATTCTGCTCAGATTTTTCTAGGCACTCAAGGTCATCTAATGCAGGATGTTTTAGGGTCTGGGATTTAGGTTTTTTTAGGGGTTGGGGATTGCATAGTTTCTAACTATTGTATCTTTATATTCAGTGAATAATATTTCTTGTTTTATTTTCTCATGTGAGTGAAGATCATTGACAAAAGTTGGCTAGGGGTCTTCTTCTCCCAATTTGATTTTGTGGAGCGCATTGGTACTAGCTTGGTCGTGATCCTCAAAAGCTTTGGTGGTGTCTTTTAAATCAATTGGGCGATTCTAGAGATCATTTTTGGATCCAGACAAACCAACTTAACCTCTTATAATAGCATAGCATATGCCTCGCAGTAGGCATGAAAATTGAGTATACTTGAGAACCCAATGTAGAGAATTCTGTGTCCTAAAGATTTATGAACTTGGCCTTCATTTTATTTTCTTTTCTTAAAATAAAGTGTTTGTTTGTTAGCTTTCTCAAAAGAAACTTGCTCTCCAATGAGGCTTCTCAGAGCGGATAAGAATTGTTATGGGATCATGATTGTTGTCATTTTTTTAAGGTTGGTGCTTCCCTATTCAGTTGATGAATGTTATGGGCCAATTTTCCTTTAGATTTGTAGAAAATGATTCTACTTTCATCATGATCTGTCCTTGGAGGAGGCATGTCTTTAATTTCTTTACTTTGGCAGTGTTGACCTCAATTTTCGTGAGGTCTAGTATTCCTCGTAGGAGTTAGGATCTAGCCTTAGGGGTCTTCCTGCGACTATCTTAGAACCTTAGAAGTGGGACCCGCCTCGTTTTAGTTCGACCCGCTTCCGTCCCTTTCTGGAGTTTCGCGTGTGTGGTATCAACTTCTAGCACTTAGAAGGACGAAACCAACATGAGGAAACCCAAAAGGGATTCCCTATAGGTACTTTCCGAGCCTTAGGGTGGCCTTCTGCACAATTCGCACTTCTGCGCGCACCGGCTTCGCAATTCGGAGAGTCGACGTGTCCGATCTCCGCAATTCGCATTG